TTGTCAATTTTATTATTAAATTTAAAATTTTAGTAAATATGGAGGAATTGAATTTTTATAGAAAATTGATAATGATTTAAGGGTACAATTAAAATAGATTGAATAAATTTGAGTTAAACTGATGGTAGCTAATTAGTTTGGTACCGATAATTTGTTTAGTCCATATTATTAACTAATGTATTTTGTCATCAACATTCTATGTAGGGTTTATATAAGCAATGAATGATCGTTATTAGATATATCAAGTTTCACCAAAAGTGTTGCATAAGATGGATTATTGTAATGGGTTGAGAGTTTTATTAAATTCGCTTTAGATAAGAATGCACAATTACTTGTCTATCAAAAGTTTAAAAGTCTATGTTTTCTTAACGAATATATTTCAAACATATCTAAGCGATGAATTTGAAGGATAACAAATTATATGGAATAAAGAGTCATGATTATCACAATTGTAATCTATTTTTGGGTCCCCATGTAAAAATAATAATTAAAAAAAAGAATAGTGTCGTTTTGTGACACTGTTCCTTTCTCCTCGCGTGCTGCCGAAACCAAAAGCCATACCCATTAGAGACTTCACCCGGTGTCCCTTGCTCCCCATGCGTAACAATGCCTCCCCCGCTCCCATGCAAAACCACTCCTATAAATACTGCTATTAGCAGCTGTAATAGAGAAGGTTTTTTTGGGGGGGAAGGATGAGAGGAGAATTTTTTTTGAATGAGAGAGAGGGCTGAAAAACTAAAAGAGGGGGAAAGTTTTTGAACTAAAGAGAGGGGAACGAGAAAGAAATAAAGGAAAACAAAGAGGCCAAGCAACGCTGAAACGACAGAGGGGAGGAAGAGCAGCAGCGGCGCCATCGTCAGCTCATCATCTCCTTCATCCCAGCAGCCACACCAGGAGGAAGAGCTGTTAGCAGCACCACCTCTGTTGAACCTTGGCCATTTCTTCCGTGCACCCGAAAATAGCCTTCTCTGTCAACGTAGCCCCAGACCAGCCTCAACCGAACCCCACAACAGCAGCAACCATTTCTTCTCAATAGAGACAAGACGGGAAGCACAAGAAAGAGAACCAGAGAACAAACGAACGAGGAAGAACACAACAATGGACGAGCAGAAGAAGAGAAGATAAGCAGAAGAAAACACAGGAAGAGCAGCCATAGCAAACACCATGAACCGCACCAGCAGCTGCACAGACGAGGAAGAAGGGTAGCCGCAGCAACACTAGAGAAGAGGAAGAGCAGCCACCGTGACACCACCAACTACACCAACCACACTAGCTCATCATCTTGCATATGAGGTCTGTAGAATAAGGAAGAAGAAGCACAGAAAACCAGAAGAAGGAGAGAGGAACGAAGATTGCAAAGGAGGGAACTTAGAAGAAGAACGCCAGCAGAGGACGACACCACTGATCGACGAGCCAACAGGCCTTCAAACCTCGTTGTTTTCCTTTCGTTCCCAGGACGGTTTTCTTCACCTCCCGCACCGTGAACATGTTTTTGCTTTGTGTTTGCACTTTTCAAGTGAAACTTAATTCACTTGAACAGTAACGTGGGTTTTGCATGCATTCTGTTTTGTTCAATTAAAAGGGCTCTTTGCATGCATTTTGTTTTGTTCGGGTAAACTTAATTCACTTGAATAGTGTGTGAACAGTAACTAAGGATGTATTTATTTGCGAAGAATATAATTACCCGGTTACTGTGCAGGTGCATAGTAACCGGCTAGTTAATTTACGGGGGTACTGTGTAGGTGAACAGCCACATGGTAACTATTCATTGTACAGTACCGACCTATGTTGTTTCGGGTGGGCTGAGCCCAGCCTTGCAGAAAGTGGGCCATTTTATTTTGGGCTGATTTTTATCCAGTTTTTTTTGGGCCGGGTTTGGCCCATCTGGAAAATTTTCTTCAAAAAATTATTTCAAAGAATCTGTGATTTTTTGTAATTTTGTTACTATATTTTGATCAATATCAATTTGTATTTTTATACTGTAAAGATACAAATTCAGTATTAAAATACCTGGTTTTCGTCGAAACATCAAAAAAATATAAAAATGAAAAATATTTTGTTTTCATGCATACGACCAATATACTAACATGTTTTTTAACGTTTTTTTCATAAAAAAACAAATATTTGAAGTTTTAAAAATGTATTTTCGCATGGATTTCTTAAACACAATAAAAATTATTTTCTTGCATTTTTGGATTTTACAACATGTTTGTAAATTCCAAAGGGTGTTGGCCAATATTCCAAAAAATATAAAAATCTTATTTTTGTGGAATTCATCTATATTCACTATTAATGTTTGGATAAAGAAATCCCAAATGGGTAAATATCCAAAATATTATTAGGAATAATTTGTTATTATTCACTATTAATGTTTGGATAAAGAAATCCTAAAAGGGTAAATATCCAAAATTTATTAGGAATAATTTGTTATTATTCACTACAAATATTTGGATAAAGAAACCCCCAAAGGGGTAAATATTCAAAATATTATTGGGAATAATTGTCCGTTGTAAATATTCAGATAAAGAAACTCCAGGTGGTTAATATAAAAGATATTTTTCTAGGAGTAATTCTAAATTTATTTCAAAACAAACACAGACTCCAAGAGATCTACAACGTCTCTCTTTGCCACTCTATAGATATATCTAAAGGTATGATCCGTATTGGCCAAAGGTTCTTTTCCTTAGACTTTGGACCCAAGTTTCGTTCATCAGAGCAGACTTATCCTAGGAAATTGATGGGATTCGAGAACACCAACACCATAGCAACTACACAGAAAACCAAACACCAAGCAGCTTACCTTAGGTAGGGTGTACTAGGGGTGCTAAAACTTTCCCTTTACGCAACCAGTCCCTTGCCTTAGAATCTCTGAAAGACCAGTTAGGTTTCCTAGTGACCATAATACTAGGTGGCGACTCCCTTTTCACAAAACAAAAACCCCCACATATCTCCTTGCAACGAGGGAAGGTCGTCGCGACGTCGAGCTCTCGGGAGGGTGCGATAGTCACGCGTTCATAAAAACACTCATTCGACATGCTTACCTAGATTTATTGTCAAAGGAGATATGGGATATATTCATAGAGATCAGTCATTTTTTTAGAGATATATGCTCTAACAAGTTGCATACCCAACTTATAGAGAAGCTTGAAACAAATATTATCCAGACAATCTGCAAACTTGAGATGATATTTCCTTCATCTTTCTTTGACTTAATAGAGCATCTACCTATATATCTACTAATTGAAACAAAAGTAGGAGGCCATATCCAATATAGATGGATGTATCCATTCAAGAGGTTACGAATTGCATATTCATTCTAATTAAATTTCTATTGTCTATTTTTTTTTTAAAAAAAGACATTCATTTAATTCCATTCGAAAACTTATTCAATTTAAAGAAAATGGTTAAAAATAAAGCTCATGTTAAGACTTCAATATACAAGGCTTATATTGTGGAAGAGATCTTAACATTATCTCAGAATACTTTGAGTCTCACTTGGAAACAAAAATAAATAATGTTCCAAGACATAATGAAAGTGGGGAATTTCCTTCAAGTGGGAGTTTGTCAATATTTTTTCATCTTGAATGACTTGTACCAAAAATATAGTAAGGAGAAGATACTTGACAGAAATCAAATACAATACTAGAAGTGAAAATATTTTTCCATATTGTACAACATCGAATATCAAATTTATTCTTGATACAATACTAGAAATAAAACCAAACACTTATTGCAACAAATTAAACATGAAGTAAAATAAATATTAGTGAATGTTATATTTCCTTGTTCAATTCATTGCCTTGTTCATATTATAAAATAATCAATTTATAAATAAATAAAATCAACTAGTTTATGGCTTTATTTATTGATGAATGTTTGTAAGTATATGAATTTCAGTTAGGCTCTCATATAGGGGAGATGGTGTTGAATTTTTTTTTAAACAGAAATGTTATTACCTTTTTTAACACTTTAATTTGTATAGATGTCAAGGAGAATGTCATGTGGTCCGCCTCATTGCCTACCTGGTCCTGGCAAAGATCTGCCCCTGCCTCCTCCTCCTTTAGCTTCTATCCTTTAGATTAATTGTATTTAAATTGATAATTTTTAAATTTATAATAAATATTTGGTTTTTTATTTTAGTTTTTATTTCTTTTAATTTTTTTATGTTCTATTTATTTGATTTTAAAAAAAATATTAACAAATTATTAACAGAATTACCGGCAGACTAAGTTTTCAGAGAGTTGAAAAACAATTACATGAAATGCTATTCAACATTACAGATGGAATCACCGACAAACTAAATCCCTCGGAGAGTTCTAGAGAGTTAAAAAAAATTCCATGATCTTGCCAGTAATAATATGTAAATCACCAACGGGTTTAGTTTGTCAGTAATATGAAATAAATCACTAATAGAATTACAAATTGTATTCTCTGTCGATGATATGTCATACTAACCGATGAAATGATACTTGTAATTTTTTTTATTTAACGTGTTTTTTTTATAAATCTATCGGTGATGATATTATTGATGGAATGACAAGCATAATAAAATCACTAATAATAAATTTTTCAATGAATAATTACCATCCATGATTCTCTCGGTAAATATTTTTCTGATGGAATTAGTGTTTAAATACCAACGGTCCAATCCATTGGTAATATGAAAATTCTACTGGTGTTTAATTGGTCAATTTTACTATGTTTCAAAGTCTTCTCCAATGATGCACCGAAGTCTTTTTCTGTTCACAGTTGAGCAAAGAAAATTCAAATGAAAGGTTGAAGATGTTAGGATACTGGCATGCAAACTCAACAAGACAAAAGGTAAGGGACAAGATAAAATGAGAAATGACACACAAGAATTTACGTGGTTCACCCAATTTGGCTACGTCCACGGGCAAGTATAGAAGGATTTTACTAAGTAATGTGGGAATACAACTTCTCTCTAATAATAGGAGAACAACAAAAATCTCTCTATTATTAGGAGAAAACACCTCACTTACTATCTCACAAATACCTCACAATTTTGTGGGATTATTCTCTCTTCACCCTCTCTTCTTTCTTCTCTTGTGGTGTGTTTATAATGCTTGGATGCATTGCCTATTTATAGGCAAACATCCATGCAAAAGACAAGGGCAAGGTAGGTGGCACCAAATTTATGCCTAACATTGTTGACAAATTGGTGCCTAACATTGTTGATTTTGTCAACAATGTTAGGGTGATTTCACATAAGAGAGCCAAAGTAGTATAAATAGGACCTCTTTTGTTGCCCAAATGCACATAACAAACAACAATATTCTACAAACCGTAGTGGTTCATAGAATTATCTAAGATGATAACAATGAAAAAGATGTGGGTTTGGATGTTGCTAACATTATTAACTTTGGTTGGCGAAAGCTATGGTCGTTGCTATGGGTGTTTGGAGGAAGAGAGAATTGAGCTCTTGGGGATCAAAGCTTTGATCAATCCACACAGCGTTTACGGGTATTTAGTCGACTAGACGGTCAATAAAGAGGATAATTGTTGTAAGTGGTCTGGGATCAAGTGTGATACAGCCACAAGGCAAGCGATCCAACTCTCTCTTTGGGATGCAAGGGGTTTGAGCTTGGGCGATTGGGTTCTCAACGCATCTTTGTTTTTTCCTTTTAGAGAATTGCAAAATCTTGATTTGAGCTCTACTGGATTAGATGGTTGCTTTGAGAATCAAGGTTCGTTCAATGTTTATCTTCTTATAATAAAAAATAAAGTTATATGATTTGTGGATGTTAATTATCTTGCTTCGATGTTTTTCTTCCAGGCTTCGAAGTCCTATCGTCAAAACTGGAGTTACTTGACCTAAGTGATAACCGATTTAATGATAAAAGCATTTTGTCATGTTTGACTGGGCTTTCCACTCTCAAGTCTTTGGATCTATCACACAATCAGTTGACAGGATCAGCTAGCTTCTATGGTAACCTTTTCTTTTCTCCTTCTCATATGATTTTTTCTATGCATTTATTTCCTTCCAATATGCTTTTGACAAACATCTTTCAGGTTCCAAAGACTTGTCATTAAGGTTGAAAAAACTGGAGAACCTTCAACTAAGTGGGAATCAATGCGACGATAGCATTTTTTTCATCTCTAACTGGGTTTTCATTTCTCAAGTCTTTGGATCTGTCATTCAATAAGCTGACAGGATCAATATTAAATTATATATAATTCATACCTAACTGCTTTGCAAGCCATTCTCGTATACAGTTTCTTTATCAAGAAAAATGAAGACTTCATATCTATTTAATAATCAATTTAATGATAGCATTTTATCATGCTTGACTGAGCTTTCATCTATAGGAATTTATATCTATATGCGTTCATGCATCATTTTCTTATGTATATCTCGTAAGATTTCAAGTCCAACATGTTAGGATACTGGCATGCAAACCCGACAAGATAAAAGATAAGAGACAGGATAAAATGAGAAATGGAACACACAAGAATTTACGTGGTTCACCCAATTGGGCTACGTCCACAGACAAGTATAGAAGGATTTTACTAAGTAATGTGGGAATTACAACCTCTCTCTAATAATAGGAGAACAACTAGGAATCTCTCTATTATTAGGAGAAAACACCTCACTTACTCTATCACAAATACCTCACAATTTTATGGGATTACTCTCTCTTCACTCTCTTCTTCTTCTCTCTATTTTGGTGTGCATATAGGCTTGAATGCATTGCCTATTTATAGGCAAGAGTGAGGGTATAATGGTCATAAATTTAGGAGGAATATATGCCTAACAACTCATCCTTCACTCATACTCCATTAATTATACCAACTCATCCTCCACCAATTACAACTCATCTCCCACTCAAATTCCATTAATTATGCCACCTAATTACATGACTTTACATTCTCCCACTTGAAGACTTTGATGATGTAATCAAGTCTTCACACTTGATTATTTGTGATTCTTCGTCTATCCTTTCTATACTTGTCATCTTCATGTTGTTTACGTTTCTGTTAGGCCATAAGAGGATCTGCACCATATATACTTATCAGTGTTGACCAGTTTGGTCAAAGCATCTGCTGGGTTTTTCTTTGTGTGAATCTTCTGAAAACCCACACTTCCATCTTCCACCATTTCACGAACAAAGTGATACTGAACATCTATGTGTTTTGTTCTTGAATGGAATGCTGGATTCCTTGCAATATGCAAGGCACTTTGACTATCACAATACAAAAAAATATTCTCTTGTTTGTGCCCGAGCTCCTCCATAAGTTTCTTCATCCATATTGCTTCTTTACAAGCTTGTGTAGCTGCCATGTACTCAGCTTCTGTTGTGGATAACGCTACAACAGTCTGAAGTTTAGAAACCCACCTCACAGCTCCTCCTGTAATTATGAACACATAGCCTGTAGTGGACTTCCTTTTCTCAAAGTCACCAGCAAAATCTGAATCAACATATCCTCTGATAGTAAATTCTGATCCTCCATAACATAATGCAACATCTGAGGTACCCTTGATGTATCTCAAGATCCTCTTAATAGTATTCCAATGCTCTCTACCAAGATTTGCCATGTATCGACTAACTGCTCCCACTGCTTGTGCAATGTCTGGTCTTGTACATATCATGGCAAACATTAAACTTTCCACTACTGATGCATACGGTACTCGAGACATCTCCATCCTCTCTGCTTCATTGCTAGGAGACATACTTGAGGATAATTTGAAGTTAATAGGAAATGGGGTGGAAATTGGCTTACAATCTTGCATGTTGAAGCGTCGCAACATCTTCTTCAAATAATTCTTTTGAGAAAGCCAAATCTTCCTCTTACTTCTGTCTCGGTAAATTTGCATCCCTAGAATCTTGTTTGCTGGTCCCAAGTCCTTCATATCAAATTCCCTAGCCAACTGTGCCTTTAATTCTTGGACTCGATCTTTGTTGGGGCCTATCACCAACATGTCATCCATGTACAATAACAAAATGATGAAATCTTCTTCAAACATCTTGTAATACGTACAATGGTCTGAACTGAGTCTGTTGTACCCAAGGCTAATTATGAAGGAATCAAATCTCTTATATCAACACCTCGGCGCCTGTTTGAGACCGTATAGAGATTTGTTCAACCTGCAAACCAAGTTCTCCTTGCCTATTTCAGCAAAACCCTCTGGTTGGAGCATATAAATTTCTTCTTCAAGTTCTCCATGAAGAAATGCAGTTTTCACGTCTAACTACTCCAAGTGAAGATCAAATATAGCACACATTGCCAAGACTACTCTGATTGTCGTAAGTCGTACCACCGGATAAAATATCTCATTGAAGTCTATTCCTTATTTCTGAGCATATCCTTTCACCACCAATCTCGCACGATACCGCTCCACTTGATTATTGCCATCACGTTTTATCTTGTAAACCCATTTATTTCCAATGGCCTTTCTTCCTTATGGTAGTGGAACAAGATTCCAAGTATTATTCTTGTGCAGAGCTTCAATCTCCTCTTGCATTGCTGTCATCCACATAGACACATCTGTGCTTTTGATAGCCTCATGGAAAGTTGATGGCTCTCCATCCTCTGTTAAAAGACAGTATGCAATGTTACTTTCAGTAACATATTCTGAGTGCCAAGCCGGTGGTCTTCTTTCACGAGTCGACCGCCGAACTTCAAGAGTTTCAGACTTTATTTGTTCTTGCTCTTCATGCTCTGGTACAGCTTCAGAAGAAGCATGATTCTAAGTATTTTCCACATGGACTGTTGTGGTCTCCTTTAGAATGCTATTATGTTCTGCCTTTTGCATTTGATCTTCTACAAATATGACATCTCTGCTGATAACTACCTTGTGGGTAGTGGGATCCCACAAACGATACCCCTTCACTCCATCAGCATATCCCAAGAATACACATTTTCTAGATTTTGAATCCAGCTTGCTAACTTCTTGTGTATTGTACATCACGTACACAGGACTTCCAAATATATGCAATTGAGAATAATCAGCTGGTTTTCCAGTCCACATCTCCATCAGTGTCTTTAGCTCAATTGCGGTTGATGGAGATCGATTTATCACATAACAGGCGGTATTGACTGCTTCTGCCCAGAATGACTTTCCTAGACCTGCAGCCTTTCACATTGCTCTTGTTCTTTCTAACAGAGTTCTGTTCATTCATTCTGCCACTCCATTTTGTTGTGAAGTGTATGCTGTTGTGAACTGCCTTTTGATACCTTCATGTTGACAGAAGTTATCAAATTCATCACTGGTATATTCTCCTCCATTGTCAGTCCTCAAACACTTGATCTTCTTTTCAGATTCAAGTTCCACCCGCGCTTTGAAAGTTTTAAAGACTGTAAGCACATCTGCCTTCCTTCTAATTGGATACACCCAACATCTCCTGGAGAAGTCATCTATGAATGATACAAAGTATCTTGCTCCTCCCAAGGATACAACCGGTGCTTGCCAAACATCAGAGTGAATCAGGTCTAAGATGCATTTGCTCTTAGTTGTAAATGTGCCAAACTTCAACCTGTGTTGTTTACTTGTAACACAATGCTCACAAAAAGGTAAAGTAACCTTTGTAAGCCCAGGGAGTAACTTCTGATCAGAGAGAACCTTTAAACCTTTTTCTGACATGTGACCTAGTTTTTGATGCCACATCATCGTCTTCTCTTCTGCAGGACTGACTGATGCGATTGACGCTTCTGCCTCATGATGTGTTTCTCCCATTAATGCAAATACATTTGCAACTGTCTTTCTTGCCTTTAAAACCATCAGAGCTCCTTTGATGATTTTCATGATTCCATTTTCTGTTCGGATCTTACAGCCAAGACTATCAAATTGTCCTATGGACAAAAGATTCTTCTTTAAGTCTTTCACATGTCGCACTTCTGAAATAGTACGAATCAAGCCATCATACATCTTCAATTTGATGGTGCCAATGCCAACAATCTCTAAAGCATGATTATCACCCATGAACACTTTGCCTCCAGAGATAGGTTTATATGTATGGAACCAATCTCGATTAGGAGTCATATGCCATGTTGCTCTTGAATCCATTAGCCAGACCTCAGTGAGCTCTTCTGTATCTGTAGAGATTGTTGCTGCTTCACTATATAAAATATCTCCATCTTCTGAGGTGCTCGCAACACACCCTTGAGATTTTGATGACTCTGCAAAATTCTCTATACCCTTTTTAAACCAACAATCCTTTTTGAAGTGCCCATTTTTGCCACAGTTGTAGCATTTCACAGCCTTCTTACTTCTTGATTTGGACCTCCCCTGCCTTTGACTCCCACTAGAGCCACGCTCCGTTGATCTTCCTCTTGACACCAACAATGCCTCTGCTTGGTTTGAACTGTTTCTGTCTCCTTTGTTTTTGCGCCTATTTTCTTCTTCCAAGATAGTCGCTGCAACATCATCGAAGACTAGATAATCTGAGAGGATATTATTTGTCAAGTTGATAATGAGCTGATCATACGAATCAGGAAGACTTTGAAGTAGAAGCTCTGCATGTTCATTTTCCTCTATTTGCTGGCCCAATGTAGTGAGTTGTGAAAATAGAGTTCTTATTGTGTTGATGTGGTCAGTCACCGACGTGGTTTCTGCCATTCGAAGGGTATAAAGTCTCCGCTTTAAGAAAATCTTATTGTGCAAAGACTTGGACTCGTATAACTTTGTTAGAGTCTCCCATATCTCCTTAGCTGTTTTCTTTTCCGCCACACTTGATAACACTTCATCGGCTAATGCTAAATGTATGTTAGCAATAGCATTGCCATCCATCTCATTCCATTTTGCATCATCAGTGATCTCCGCGGGTCGATCCCCAATTGCTGCCAAGCAATTGTCTTTCCTTAAGATTGCCTTGATTCTCATTTTCCACAATGAAAAATTGCTCCCATTAAATCTCTCAATCTCGTACTTTGCTACCATTGTATTCACCGAGATCTATTCAGCTATCACTGTTTCACAGGTCTGTAACGTATATAGAAATAGTATCGTGTGAATAATACTTCACTAAGTAAGTTTCCAGAAAAGATTGGAGGGGTCACAAACGGTCCCGCTTAAAACCCAATCTCCTTAGACAGAACTTCCTAGACTGTATTTAATCACCGCACTGACTTTCTATATACGCCAACCGCAACGTATGTGAACAGTACC